TTTTCCCCAGACTTCCCATCTATGTCTGCCACTAGGCTCAAAGGTGTTCTCTTGTTCTGGCCATGGGTTCATTCCCTGGGATCAGCACTGTGTCGGGCATGGAGTGATGGTTTTCTAGCTAGGTGAAAACAATGAGTCTCAGAGGTTGTGGAATCTTGGGGAATTCACGCAGACACTCTGCCTCCATTTCCTCGCCTGGAATTTGGCTGAATCCACCTCTCCCTCACAGGCTGTTGTGGGAATACAGTGAAAGAATGTTCATGAACACCTGGGGCAGGCCTGGCACTTGTGCTGCTATACAGTCAGCACCACTGCTGGGTCACCACTACATGTCCATGTGGACTGCAGGCTGCTTCGGAGCCAAAGCACCACTGATATGAAAGCAATGCAGGGATGGAAGTCAGAAAAGAAGGAAGAAAGGACAGGAGAAGGGAGAGAAGGAAGAAAGGAATGACAGAGGGAAGGAAGGAGAGAAGGAGGAAGGGAAGGTAAGACTTATTTAATGGTTGAAGGAAGGTCAATGCCTCTTACAGATATTAATGAGTCCAGCACATCTCAACAACAAATAAAGAAACAACACTGTTGGTGAGGATGTGAAGAAAAGAGAAACCTCACTGGTGGAATTATAAATTGGTGCAGGCGCTATGGAAAACAGTATGGAGGTTCCTCAAAAAAATTAAAAATAGCCGAAACCGGTTTGGCTCAATGGATAGAGCGTTGGCCTGTGGACTGAAAGGTCCCGGGTTTGATTCCGGACAAGGGCATGTATCTTGATTGTGAGCACATCCCCAGTAGGGGGTGTGCAAGAGGCAGCTGATAGATGATTCTCTCTCATCGATGTTTCTAAGTCTCTATCCCTCTCTCTTCCTCTCTGTAATAAAAAAAATAAAAAAAAAAAAAAAAATCAATAAAATATATTTTAAAAAATTAAAAATAGAACTATCTTATGACCCAGTAATTCCACTTCTGGGTATCTATCCAAAGAAATCCAAAACACTAATTTAAAAAGACATGCACATTGCTAGGTTCATTGCAATGTTATTTACAATAGCCAAGGTATGGAAGCAACCTAGGTGACCGTCAATAGAAGATTGGATGAAGAAGACATGGTGCGTGTATACAGTGGAATCTTACTCAGCCATAAGAAAAGATGAAATCTTACCATCTGTAACAAATGGATGAACCTAGAGGGTACTGTGCCAAGCGAAATAAGTCAGACAAAGACCATTACCATATGCTTTTACTTATATGTGAAATCTAAAAAAAAACAAAAGAAATGAACAAACACAATAGAAATACACTTAGAGATACAGAAAACAAATTGGTGGTTGCCAGATGGGAGTGGGGTTGGTGGGATGGGTGAAAATGGGAAGGGATGAAGAAGTATAAATTGCCAGTTATAAAAACAGTCTTGGGGATGTAAAGCATAGCATAGAGAATATAGTCAATAATCTATAGTAATAAAAGCATAATATGCTAATTAGACTAGATGTTCTTCTGGACAACCTTCGGGATGAAGCTGGGCTGTGAGGGAAGCCAGGGACCAGGATGCCAGAGGGAAGCTTGTGCCAGCAGCAGGGGGAAGGAATGCCTACTCTTGCATGAATTTCATGCATCAGGCCTCTAGTATTGTAATAACTTTGTATGATGTTAGGTGGGCATTAGATTTTGTAAGTTATATAAATGTTGTGCACTTAAAACTAATATACTATTATATGTCAACTGTAATTGAAAAAAATTAGACTAGCCCATTTTGCTCTTCCAGATGGCCAGATAATCCATGTTGTTAGGGTTGCCAGATTTAGCCAATAAAAATACAGAATGCCCACTTACATTTGAATCTCAGATAAACAATGAATTTTGGCCATACTTATCGTACTATTTGGGACATACTTATCCTAAAACCTGAACTTCTAATTAAACTGGACATCTTGTGTTTTATCTGGCAACTTTACATGCTATTCACCATGAACATGGATTTTTATAAAATCATCCACATCAAAGGTGGCAGCTCATTGGACTAGAATTCATTCCTGCCACCAATTTCAAGGCTAAGTGTGCTGCTAAATGTATACACCATATCACATGGTAATTATAATTTCAAGTCCTTATGAATTTTAGATTCATTAATTTGCTTTTTACTTAATTTCTATTGTTTAATAGCATGTGGTTTTTAAAGGTACAGTATATACAAATACAAATTGAAATACTTTCAGATTACTGCTCTCCTTAAATAGGAATGCACATTTAATATTTGCTAATTATTATTTAATAAAAAGTGGTATTTAACATTTGGCAGAGCAATTTGCAATATTTAAGACATGCCCAAGGAAGGAAAGAAAATTCAAGTCAAAATTGGCATTTTATAGAGAATATCGATATAGTAAAGCCCCCAGCTTTCTCGAAAAATGTTGATCATGCTTTCTAAAACACAGGTCATTTTGTGTGGTTTGTGCTGTCATGCACACCAACAAGAATCAGAGTTCCAGATAACAGTGATCTAGTTTAGTGATCATTTAAAACCATATATGCTTCAGTCTAAGCAGTGGGCAAGGCCTGGCATAAATATTGTTCCAAAAGAGGATCTGAGGGCACAGGAATTCTTTTCTAAGTGACCAAAGCCTCCAAAAGCCACCTTTGTGCCATGGGGAACCATTCCGGCATATGGGCCTGTGTTTAGAACACCATAAACATACTCAACACCCACGCCCACTTCATGGTCACACAACACGCGCACACTCCCATGGCTTGAAATGAATCCCAAATACTCAAACCTGTGTTTCTGCAGGCCACCCTCAGAATCATAGACTCACAGTGTCTCCATCAGGATGGAGCAGATTTCATAGAAGGATAACCCTGTAATACGGGGCTCCAAAGGGCCAAATCAGAGATATTTATTCCTGAACAAATGCAGAGAGATGAGAAACAGAGCTATCCTATTCTATGCATTTAACAGCTGTCATACCTTTAGTGTAGGTTTTCCCCAAAATACTTGTTTACCTTTGCTTCCCTAGAACAGGCAAGCACTTTTCGGATTTTGACCATGGCTTCCTTTTTCTCCCCCATCTCCACTTCCACATCGCAGTGTTTGGGCAGTGATATTAATTTAAAAAATGATTACAAACCTAGCAGGTGGAAAATTGGTCTTTATTGTAGCACAAATAAACATTGCCTCTTTGTCCTTTTCACCATGGTTTGAACCTACTACTATGGGATTGGCAACATGTCTCTTCTCTTTGGATATTCTGTGTATATTCACCTTTTTTATTTTTTATTTTTTGGAAGGACCAGAAAAGCGTAATAGCAAGTTACATAAAACTTAAAATGTTATAGAGCAAATAAGTAGATATGCCAAGCCCCAAGCTCACGTGTAGATTCAATAGACGATTTTCAGCGTTTCTTTCAATAGTATGAGCTGAATAAATCATGCTTAGAAAGCAAGAGATGAATCTGCCAGTAACATGTTTTAATTATCATGATAAAAACATGCAAACAAAACAATAGTCTTCATTGGAGCCCAGAGAGCCATTGGAATTATGGGATGGTATCCCCTTTAGCAGAAGCTCTTAGATATTTTCACTGAAAGTCCCAGATCCTTTATTTCACGTGAGCATCTCACACTCCGCCAGCCTCCCTCCCTGTTGGGAAGTGAGCCCGAAACCACGTTATATATACACACCTGTCTCCACCTGGACCCTGCTAAGTGCTCATACCTCTGTGCATGAAAGCCTCCTATTGAAAAACAAACACTCTGACCATCGGAGATGAAGAGGGCTTCTACCTTGTTATTCGTAGCTGTTCATGTCTTAATGTGAATTAATCAAAAGGGCTCATCTGTAACCTAGCATAGCATAGCATAGACAGGACCAGCAAGTGCCAAAGCTTGGGTGGGTCCTCATCTTGGGGTGTGGCCTGTGGTGGAAGACACCCTTCATATATGTGAGGGTCCCCAACACATGGGGTGATGTCATGATGGAGGGAAGAGAAAAGGCAGCAGAGAAAATACAAACTGAGAGAAAAGGGATTTAAGACGCAGCCTCAAACACATTTGAAGATGGCCAGCGTGACTAGCCTGCCGAGGTATCTGACCGTGGTCTCTGTCCTCTTTTCTGGATGACATTGACAGTCTGGGCACTGGTGACTTTACAAGGCCCTGGCCTTCTATAATACACGATGCAAATCATCTTGAAACTGGGAGGCCCATGTGCATTGGCCATGGGTGGGCAGAAAGTCATCTGCTTCTTTATGTAAAGCACAAGCTCAGGGGCATGCATCGCACTCATCTTCCTTACAGGTGGACTCTGGAATTAGTCTATCCTAGAAAAGCAAAGATGAGAGAAGAAGATATGCCTCCTCTCTTTTCATCTCAGTGTTGTGCAGAGAATACTATTTTCTATCATCTGACTTCAGGGCAGATGCTCATTCCAGGGAAGCCTAAGGGAGGAATGAGCAAAGAGAAGGGGGCAGAGGGAGCGAGTGCTGACAGTAGCTGCAAAAAGCATTGATTACAAGTAATGATGATAAAGACAACTTTAAACTATTCATAAGCTGATTAAGAAATCTGCACAGGAACTCTACAGTCTTTATTCTGTGGATGGCCCTTTCTCTCTCACTTTCTAAGTCATCAGCATTCCTATGGAGAGGGGTGGTGGTGAAATGGGACGGGAGAGAAATTAGTACTTATTCATTAAAATGATGTGTAGCCTTGGGAGGCCCTGGCAAGCTGGGCCTTGGGAAACTACGGGTCTCACGGGTCATGAAGCAGGAATCTGTGAGCTCCATCTCCCTAAACCCATTTCGTTCTAATGCCAAAGTCTACACTGGAGAGACTGAGAGAACAGACAGGACTTGTTTATCATGTTCTAGTCTTTGTAAACCTAAGTCCTGTCCCAGTAGGCGACTGGCCTCTGGTACGGGAGACGTTAGCTGCCTAAGAGACCCATCTCCCTTCCAGGAACTCCTCCAAGGCCACCGTCACACCACTGGGAGCAAACCCATACCTGCGCAGCTATTCTTCATCCACGTCTGTTACAAACTGAGAGTGGTGGTCGGGTGACTTGCTGTGCGTTTTGCTTAGGTGGAGTTTTACTGCGTGTTTGCTCACAAATGTCCGAGAGCACAACTTACACTTGAACTTAGAGTCCGTGTCCTCTTCGCCAGCTATGGTTTCCGGAGACCTCTGAGCCGACGACACCCGGGAGATCTCTTGTTCCACCTTGCCTTGCTGCTCCACGGCCATGCGGGTCATGTCCTTCATTTGGAAGCCGAGGTGCGATTCCAAGTGGCTGATGTAAGTAGAAGGGGTTCTAAACTGGGAGGCACAGTCACTACAGTAAAAGATGGGGTGGCCCTTGTCCATGTTTTTCAGAAATTTCGTCCCGCCCGTTTTCCTAAGCTGGTACTTGACGTTGGCCAGCCAGTGGCTGATGGTGGTCATCGAGAGTCCCGTGAACTTTGAGATCTGCATCCGCTCTTGGGGGCCCAGGTCGGACAGCAGGTACTTGCCCTCCGACGTCTGGAAGAGGCTCGACGCGAACTGAGCCTGCAGGATCAGGAGGTGCTGGGGGTTCCAGTTGGACTGTCGGCCCTTTCTTTTATGCAACGTGGAGACCTCACTGGAGACGTCCTCGAAGCGCCTGACGTCCACCTCCAGCTTCATGGGCGGGACCCTGGAGGAGGCGGCGGGCTTCGGGGTGGTGGCTTTGGGGAGGACTTTGACCATGTCGGCGATGTCAGACAGAGCATGCTTCTGAGGCGGGGACGTGCAGGATTGTGCTTGCGAGGAGGACTCGGCTTTCTTGCTTTTGGACTTGGTCAGGTCGATGGGCTGGTCGTTGTTCTCAAACAGGTAGCGCCTGGACACGCTGGCTGGCCTCGCGGTGGCAGGACTCGAGGCCGGCTTGTCCATGGCGCTGAGACTGGACTTGTGAAACATAGAGATTGTGCTTGAGCTGGGGCTGGAGCAGGAAGGGGAGCGCAGGGGCTCCGTGGCTTTGCCCAGGTGGTTGTTCAGGACGGACTGCAGCGCGCTGAGCGGGTTGATGCACGGCAGGGCCGACGCGTGGTTGGCGAGGGCGCACCCGTTGCTGAGGGGAGACGCAGGCTCCAGGGGCTGAGTTTTCTCCTTCTCGCCGCCCTCTTTTATCAGCTTGTCCTCCTCCTTCGGGGGGCAAGGCTCAGGCTTTTTGGATTCGGAAGGGGGTTCGCTGTTGGAGCAAGACTCCCCCTCACTGTGGCTGAAAGATGACGCTTCTTCACGGGGACTTTCCTTCCCACACTCCTTCACTGTTTCCTCCCTATCTTCTGGCTCCTTTTTCACTTGAGTGTATGGGGCCAGGTTCGTGGGCACAGAAACCAGGGGCATGACTTTCCACTTGGGAGCAATTGGCCTCAACTTGTTGGTGAGGTTGGGCCGCATCTGCAGCACCTGGGAACCCAGAGGCAAGGAGGCCTTGGTGCCCTCCGACAGCTGGTAGGCAGCGTGGATGCTGGGGTATGCGCTCCAGCTGGGAGCCCCGTTTTGGGCCTTGTTGATGGCTGTGGTGACAGTGTTTTCCAGTGATTTCAGGATGTCCCCTCCACCCTTGGAGCCATCTTCCAGATCCTCCTCCCGTAGGTACTGATACTTTATGGTAGGGTCTAGCGGTTTTTGTAGAGGGTCTTCATAGTCCTCGCTTTTCACGACTTTCTCCTCCTTGGTGGCCTCCTCTGGCTTTTCTTTCCTACCCTCCTTCTTTATCTCAGTCGTGGAAGCGGCACAGTCCGAAGCTGAATTACTCGATGGCTTGGGAGCCAGAGAATCGCTGTTGGGAGCGTCGGACAAAGACTGCATTTTCTCCACTGCCAGTGGGTCTAACACCAGCTGCTTCCCTTTCTTGGAGGCAGAGCTGGTGACCTTGAGAAAGTGTCCTGTGACCATCATGTGGGTGGTGAGCTGCTGCAAGGTGTCGTGGGAGCTCCCACACTCCATGCACTTGAGGATCTGGGACTTGCAGGCCTCGAACTGCCAGGTGTAGCTGGCGCCGTTCTGGTAGCCGTAGCGGTTGTTGGAGGACAGCTGCAGGCTGCTGCCCTTTGGGGACGAAAATGAGTCCGCAAACGACCCCGTGGTGGAGTCCGGGGAACACGGCCGGTTGACATCAAAGACGCGCTTCTTGGCTGGAGTGACCATCTTGGATGAAATGGTGGGGACGGGCTCCTTCAAAGGCACTTTTTGGTAATGTTTTGTTTTGATCATGTGGACACTCAGATCCTGGAGGGAGTCAAAAGAGTCGCCGCAGAACATGCACTTTAGCACCTTCTGGGCGTCCTCCTTGTCCATGTCCTGGAAGGCCCGCTTGCGGGGCTTGGAGTAGCTCAGGGGCCGAAGCTTGTCCTTTTTGCGGTTGTCGTCTTGGTAGTGGCCCGTCTCGTTCATGTGCACGGTCAGCTCAACCAGGGTGTCGTAGGCGGCGCTGCACTGGCGGCAGCGGAACCGGCTGGCCCCAGTGAACACGCTCCCGCATGCCTTGCTGCTCTGCCGGTACAGCTGCACCGAGCTGAACAGGCTGGGCTTTGACACGGATCGGGACGGCAGGTTCTGCTGCAGGCTTTTGGACAGAGCGTCTTGGTGCCAATCAAAATCCGTCTTGCTGCTGCCATTTCGGGTGTCACAATGCCGCCGGTCACTGTTGGACAGCTTGAAGCCCAGGCCCAGGCCCGACCAGTAGGAATCAGACAAGATGTTGGCGTAGACGGCCGTCATTTTGTCCATGCAGTTGTGGGCTTCCCCGGGCAGCTTGGGCCGAGCGCCGGCTGTCTTGTCCAGGGCATCCCGACCGCACACACTCTTGATGTCGGACACAGGGTCACTGGCATCACTCAGCAGAGACTCGCTCTCCGCGTCCTGGTTGGACAAGTGGCTGCCCGGGGAGTTCTGGTAGCTGAAGCAGCCCTTCGGCTCCGGACCCATGTCTAGCTCCTCGTCTGTCCCGGGGTCATTGCTGCTCTGCAGTTGAACCACGGAACCACTGTCTTCCTCCTCTTCCTCTTCTTCTTTTATCTCCTCCTGGTCCTTCAGCTGCTCCTCCTGGGCGTAGCCTGCAAGACAAGAAGAGATGAAATATCAGCACCAGGTCACAGGCTCCATCCTGATTTCCACTGGGACAAGGGCTTTCCACATCCCACCGAAGAGCAATCTGTCTACATGTGCAGGGGGGGCAGTTGGGGGAGAGATCAGGCCAGCAGGAGAGGGCAGTGGGGATGACCAGGCCAGCAGGAGAGGGCAGTTAGGCAATGGATACAAGAAAAGCCAAATGATGCCCTTCGCGCTACCTAACCCTACTCGGCTTCTTTTTGTTGTTGTTAATTCTTACCCAAGGATATGTTTCCATTGATTTTTTAGAGTGTAAGGAAGAGGGAGAGACAGAGAGAAGCATCCGTGTGAAAGATACACATCAACTGGTTGCCTCCTGCATATACCCTGATCAGGGCCAGGGAACCTGGCAACCAAGGTATGTGCTCTTGATCAGAATCAAACCTGGGACCCTTCAGTCTGTGAGCCTGTGCTCTATCCACTGAGCCATCCCGGCTTGGGCCTCCTTGGCTTCTTAATTGGCAGGAGCTATAGTTCTTCCAAATGCCCAGAATGCTAAGTGAGTAATTGTCATTTTTAAGGAATAGCACTCTAATATTCCTTTAATGGGACAGTTGCTAAATTCTTGCTTATGACTTTCAGGAAAGCTGGACTAAAATCCAAATCCAATCAAAGTCATATCTCTACCGAGAAGGATGTTGTTCATAAGAAAGCTAAGATTTGACCTTTGGCATCTCCATGGTAAGGTTTACCAAGACACTTGGGGCTACTGGCATACAATCATTTAGTCAGTCATTTTTGAGTGCTCAGAAGTAATCTGAACGTACAGCCTCATCTTCATGAGAGCCAGTCCTTTTGTTCTATTTTTTTAAAAAAATATTTTTTATTGATTTTTTACAGAGAGGAAGGGAGAGAGATAGAGAGCCAGAAATGTCGATGAGAGAGAAACATCGACCAGCTGCCTCTTGCACACCCCCCACCGGGGATGTGCCCGCAACCAACGTACATGCCCCCGACCAGAATCGAACCTGGGACCTTTCAGTCCGCAGACCGACGCTCTACCACTGAGCCAAACCGGTTTCGGCTTCTTGTTCTATTTTTATTTGTAGAGCATCACACAGCAGGAAGAGAGATTATGGAGTCCTAAAAAAGATCTTCCACTGATAGCCCAAAAATTATGTAAACTCAGCAAACAATGATCTTATATAATAAAAGCCTGGGTGGCAACACGTGACACCCTCGAGCAATGCCATCACAAGGTGGCCACTGCAACATCATCATAAGATGTGGCCACAAGATGGTTACCACAAGATGGCCAGCAGGGGGAGGGTAGTTTGGGGTGAGATCAGGCTGGCAGGGGAGGGAAGTTGGGAGTGACTGGGCCTGCAGGGGAGGGCAGTTAGGGTTGACCAGGCCTGTAGGGGAGGGCATCTGGGTGCCATCAGGGTGGCAGGGGAGGGTAGTTGGGGCGAGATCAGGCCTGCAGGAGAGGAGAGGGCAGTTGGGGGCAATAAGGCCAGAAGGGGAGCAGTTAGGCTTCAATGAGGCTGGCAGGGGAGCAGTTAGAAGGCAATCAGACAGGCAGGCAGGCAGGCGAGTGGTTAGGAGGTTTAGGACTGATCCCTTTGAGCCTAAATCGGACATCCCCCAAGGGGTCCCAGATTGGAGAGGGTGCAGGTTGTGCTGAGGGACACCCCTAGTGCATGAATTTCATGAACCAGGACTCTAGTTTTAAAATAATAGCAAATGGTGTCAGAATGGGAGATTTGGGGACTATCTTACTATTCTCAAACAGGTTTATGAAAACCTTTGCAGACAAGGTGGAAAATTTGCTCTCAGTCTTGTGCCTATAATTTCAAATGCACTGTGATTTGTGGGGAACTGCCAGGAGGTGCCAATTTTAAGTGTGATTTGTAGATGCAAAATGCTATTGGGGATGCATGCTTTTTCCTTTCTGAAAGGATTTAAGACCCATAATTGCACAGGGAAAATGAAGGCATGAGAGAGTGGGCGCAAAGGGAATTAATGGGCAAATAGCCATTCATGGAGATGAGGAATGGGACTATTAGTGCCCAGGTGCTCATTTTCTTCACTGGCCATTTTCAGAGCCACATGGATAAAATGCAACCAAAGAAACACCAAGGCAAGGGTGATCCAGCCTTAGATTTGCAAGGCCTGCATGATCTCAGAGCAGTGCCTTCCTTCTGAGCCTCTATCTCCCCCTCAGTGCATGTGGGAAAAACCCCAGGGAAGTGGCAATATTCCCATTCACCAGGGAATGAGAAGGGGGATCATGCATTGGTGGTCTGTCCTGTAGGCAGGCAGAGGGTTAGGAGGAAAGCGGCGGGGGGGGGGGGTTGTTGGGGGTAAAGCAGCTGCAGTAGCAGCCCCAAAGGCTCCTGCTACTGAGGAGGAATATTAGTGAGCAATCACTCTCCTAAGACCTATGCTGACCACACTGTGAATGCATTCTTTCATTTCATCTCATATCTACATGGAGTAGGAACTATTATTATTTCCATTTCCCAGATGGGGAAACTGAGGCTTTCAGGTTAAGGAATTTGCTCAAGACCACACAGCTAGTATCATAGTCATGACATGTACCCTGTCTGATGAGAGAATCCATGGTCTTAACTACCAGGCTCCACTTTCTATTACCAACCAATTGAATAAGAAAGTGCTGCAGAGACACCAAGGTTAAAGGTTAGCAGTGGAAGTTCACTGAAATGTCACTAAATGGATAACCACCTGGGAGGGGAGAGTTGTGGGAGTTCTGGGGACAAGAGCTCATGATTTTAAGGGCACGGTACCATCAAACAAGATGAAATGTAAAAATTGAGTCTGGCTATCAGATTCATGGCCGTGCTCAGTATTTTATTGCTCTTGGTGTTGTGTTTTCACTTTCCTAGCAAGTTGACAAGTGGGTTTTTCATGAAACTGGTGTGCTGGTTTCTAGTTCCATAAATTAATTTCCAGACATAAAAGCTACTCGATCTGGTCAAACAACCAATAATAAGTGATCACTGCTTACAAGCAAACGCTGGTTCAAAAATAGCTGAATGACTGAATTAGATCACCCCCTCATCCTCATCGAATTTTCTTTTTTTCTTGGACTAATTTGCATGTTTGCAAAAGGAGTCAAATCATTAAATTCAAGGAGAATGTCTGTTATAAAATAATAAAGTTGTTACAAAGCCAACCAATATGCTTAAAAGAATTGGGAAAATTTTATCAACCAAGAGGAGTCCCTCCTGAGAGTTAGAGGGGTATTGTCACTTTTGCTCTGGGACAACACATGTTACCCAACACATGTTCCTGCTAAGACACAGTCACTACACTTACGGGGAATGTAACAATAGAAACAAAGAAAAATGCATGCGCACATGCACACACAGACACACACAGAAGGGAAAAAATTTAAGAAAAAAAGAGGGCTTTCTGTCATCACAGCTGGCTAAGGGAGTTGCTAAGGTTTTTCATCTCAGTATTTTCAGTGCCTAGCACAGGGCCTGATACTTAGTAGGAAGCTGGGAAGTAATTCATGTTATTTTGTGTGGGTTGATGAAAGACACATTTGTGTGAATGTATGTATGTACACACACACACACACACACACACACACACACACTCCAGCCTGTATAGTCATTTTTGCACAAGGAGGAGAGAAGTGTTCTTTCTTTCTTGCTGACAGTTGGAAGCTGAGCTCTGTGGACCAGCTCAACTCCACAATCCACTTTGTCCTTCTAAATGGATTCCCCAGAAGAGAAGTCGGAGACAGCCAACGCCTGCCCCACAGTACAGATAGAATTTTCTGCTTAATTAGGCATTGGCATGTTTACTATCGCCTTTACAGGAGAGTAACTCGTGCTGGGAGACCCTTCTTGTCTGTTTTCTTCTGCAGAACAGACTAAAGCTTATGCACCCGATAAGGTAATACAGTGAAAAGCTTCATAAAAAAAAGTGCCGAAGCATCCGTCAAAGTCAGTGTATTAGAACAATGGCGGCAGGTTCCAAGTAATTTTTAAAAACACATGTTAATACTATACATTTAGAACTGCTCACCTCACTTAAGTGGCTTTGTCTGCCACGGGCAGCTGAGGCAGAAGAGGGAGGGCAGCCAGAAGGAGGTGATTGGGCCGGATAATGAGCATCTGTCTCTCTCACGCTCTCTCTTTCTCTCTCGATGATTTGTTTAATAAGCTTGCTTCATGTGGGAGCTTTGGTGAAGTGAATGAGTGGCAAGTTTATTCTTATGAATACTTATTTAGAAGATGATCACCATTCCACTGAGACACGGTGAGAAAGGACTGTTGTCTGTAGAACCTCCTTGATTCCGGGTAAAAGATGAACCATCTTTCATTCCGAACTAAATTCCTCATTTCCTCCCTTCCCACAGTCCAACTCTGGCCACAGGGAGCATCTCCGTTGCCAGGACAGCTGACTCATGGGCAAACCCCGTCAGTGCTATGCAGGAATGACCCACACGAGAGCTTCTCTCCGCTCCACTCCCAGCCTCCGCTCTGCTGAGTCCACCATCGTTCGCTTGGGTGACTGAATGACTCCAGCCTATTTTTCAAAGAACTGCTAGCACATTTGTTGTGAAAGGTATTAGGTGGTGACATTGCTCTGTTTCAACTCCTGTAATAGCATTCTGCTGTACCTACAGTAAAATCCCAGCCCTTGGCATGTCACACAGAGCATGAGGATTGGGCCTGGCCTCTCTGCTTTGTTGCTCTCGCCCTGCTGTCCATGCCTAAGGCACAGCAGTCCGCAAGCTCCTGCTTCATCGCCCACCCTTCACACGGTTCTTTGCAACTGATGATTTCTCTAGCAGCTAAGTTCTTTCTTCGGACCCTCCCATAGTTGCTTCTTTTTCATTCTCCAGGTTTCAGCTCAAATGGCCCCTCTCTGTGCAAAACTAGATCATATCAACCCACGTGCTGAAATCCTTATGGCACTCAGTACACTTGGAAATTGTGTTTGTTTCTGATTACATTCTCTCCCA